GATCAGTAATTATATAAAATTACCGTGGTAAGATTAACTGCGAGTTAGAAATTTTGAAGCCACTGACGAACAAGTGCCAGATTTAATCGTCATATACTTCTTACAAAAGTTAAAAAGACTTTAGAGGAATCAAAAGCTGGTCTCTAGTATGGCGATCTTGCCAAACTTTCCCTCATTCAGACAGCTCAAAATCTCGCTTTTAATCGTCATTGGCCTCAAAATTCGAAATCATGTTTTTTTTTTAATTTCGTCTGCAAGGTTACTTGGCTTGGAAATAGAAAGAACCTAATGTAAGGGGGTAAATAAGGGTTATATTGAACGACACATGTATTAATTACTAAATGTGAAGGAGTAAATTGTGGCCTTGATTTGCTATGTTTTTCAACAAAATGCGAACTATAAAGTTAACGTGGAGGACCTCCCAGAAAATAAGTGCGATGTTTCAGCGATTTAAAAGCTCGTGTCATGAAGTCTGATAAACAGATTTCGATTCAGTTTGTTATTTTCTGCAATAAACGATCCCCTAAAATAAGGATTTATCACAGAATGAAATGAAAGAAGTCGCAATTTTAGCAATAGGACTAAAGCTCTACTTTTAATTGAATGGCGCAATATGACAAAGTGTAGATGACTTCAAAACTTAACGATTAAAAATAAGCTTCTCCAGCTGCATCATAGGAAATTCCACGCATACAGACACCAAAAAAGCTGCAGCATACGAAATACCGATCACTCCAACAAAAGAGATGGACTGCAAAGAAAGTAACACAACAGTTAGTAACATTTTTCTGCAGAGAATTACGTGCCTGTCGTGAGAGCTGTCAGGGCGATTTTTTTAAGGGTCCCGAGAGATTATTTCTGTAACGAGGTTAAAGCAATGGCAAGAAGTTTGGATATCGACACTTCATCTTGTTCGTTCGACTAATCACTTGTTACTTAGGCCCTCCACAGAAGGCGCCAGTTAAAATTTGGGTTTGTTCTTCTTCAGTCTTTAATCGTCGTTGAGTCTAAAAAGCGCCCTGGTGAGTGAAACCTTTGCACGAGCAGGCTTTAAGAGAAAGTTGAAAACAAAGTGACGGCTGTTTCAAAGGGAAATGATTTTCACCTCCTTCTCAAATGCTTTTTCATAAGGCTTCCAAACATCAAATTTCAAATGAATGTGTTAAACCCTTCCGTTAAAGAACGATAAAACTAATCAAGCGCATATTCGTTTCTTCTCAAGGGTCCTGACTGGTTTGTTTTCGCGATTGATGTAAGTTAATGCCTGATACTGCTGTTCTCTTTAATTTTTCTATATTTCTCACCATAAAATCGACACAACTTACAATATGGACATCAGAATATGCTTGTACAGTCTCAAACGATCCATAGAGTGCAACAATGGCGAGTATATGAACGAGGTACGCACAGTATGTCAGACGACTTAATGGAATCCAGAATCGAGCTGACAAAATCTTATTCACCAAACCTTCAAAGCAGAGAAGCAAAGACAAGTAAACAACACATAAATTACTAAAGGCGACTAATTCCCCTAATATAAACTCACGCAATCTACCTCATGAAACTGATGAGAGCTCTCATGACACAAAAACTTACCCCCAAATCCATTTTGACAAGCAAAAACCACCCAAGCTAAGGCCAGGCTCCACGCAAAGCGGGAAAATGTCCCGTACGTGATATTCTCGGCGCGAGAGAAAGGTTTAGGATTGTCCTTTCGCAAGACTTTATATTCGCCATACAGTGTCGACAGAGCGAGGGCAATGGCCACACACCAACCAGCCATATTGAACAAGCGCATCTTGGTCTTAAACGGAAAAACACGATCTAAGATGAACATGTTAATTAAAGGTAACTGAGAAAGAACCCCAGAGATTACAACGGAAAATACCTCTCCGAAGCAACACAGATTAACTAATTCACTTAATAATCCGTCCAATTAACTAAAAAATTTCTAATGACAACAATTAAAAAAAAAACAACAACAACAACAGTTGGAACAAGTTGCATGACGTTATCCTCGCAGTCAATCGTAAGAGTGTCGTTCGGAATCATTCGCAACATTCAACCGCAAAATATCTTAAGTCTCAAAAATTATAGCCATCATAATAGACCATAATACCTTTGAAGGAAGTTTCCAATTCTTTGCGTGAACAAGTAGGTAACCCAACAACATACCAACAAGATAAGGTGCGATACGACAGTAGGGCTTGACATAAGTGAGAGAAGAAGAATCAATACCAGCCGCTCTACAACAAAGAATGAACAAGAAACATATAAACGATTTGACAATAATGTCTTTCGCCCTAAAGGTCTGCTTCTAGGATTAAATCGCGCGTTTTTGCCTTTAAGACGCACTTTATCTGTTTCCCAGCAATAAGCTCGCCAGTTTACAAAACTATCGTGGCGTGATATTGATCTCCAATGCTGAGTTTAGAGCAAGCCCTTTGTTCCTGTGGGGATAGCACAAGAATTGTAAAGGGTCCTCCGAAACCAGCCCCCAGATCTCATTAAGGTTTTAAGATTTTTCATTTACGAGACGAGTTGCCCATTACATGTACTAGCAGAGAGCATCTCTAAATCGGTCACCGAAATAGAGATATGACGCACTTGGCATTAAGACTCTTCTCGGATGGGTTGCCATACTATCGCGCGTCACTCAGTTCCCACGATTTAGCTGACACAATGCCAGGGCAAATTCTTTATTTAGTTCTGATTGCTTTGCTATCATAGAGGAAAGATAAAAACAAAACTTATCTCTAAATTCTGAAAAACCGAGCCCAAGGTGAAAACAGATTCCGTGGGATTTAAATGCCTCGCCCGAAAAACTTATCAAGGATTTCATCCCGGACGTTTCGATCCAGAGTTCATCATTGAGTAACCAGCATGCCACCTCTTCTTCCAATAAGAATGTGTAATTAGCTTTTGCATATTTTACAATGAGGAAAGTAACAATGACTTACGTTTCAGCCTTAGTTGCAGGACTTAGCTGAACAGCTGCAAGATCATAGTGTGCATAGATGATAGCTGTTGTGACAAAACTGATCCCCGTCAACACGGCAACAATGAGAAGCAGTCCTCGCAGGCGGAACCTAAGCACAAAAAAAAAAGTCAGAATTAGAAACAACAAGAATACTCCAGTACACAAGTTCAGAAAAATGATCGGATTCTGTATTAGAGAATCTTAAGGACCTGTCATAATTTATCGCCCGGAGGCGGAAGGGGAAGGGTGGCAGAGGATCTTTTTGTGGGCCGGGGAATCACAGGGGAAACAGAGAGGGATCACATTGGCGGATCCAGATCTTGAGCTAAGGGGGGGGGGGGCAACATTTTTGTTGGTGTGTGTTTACCTGCTGGCTTTTTTTCTCTCTTCATTTTTTTAATCTAAAATAAGGGGGGGTCCCCGTGTCCCTCCCCTAGATCCGTCGTAAAAGTGCGAACTATAGAAAATCGATTGTCTATGAACTGCCATTAAAGAGGGGTGGTGGTGATAAGAATCTTACAGAGCCTTAAAGGGAATCTGGTCAATTTTATCGTGACATAACCAAATCCCTCTGCCGCC